ATCCTCCTTGGGGTTAAGGGCGGCCGGCTTGTAAGTAACAAATTCACCGCCATCTGTCATGCATTTTCTAGAAAATGTAGGATCCTCGATGTCTCACAACCCTATGGACCTCCACCGTCTGCTACAGGGATAGCTTTATCTTGCGCAGGATGTTCGGGAAATATGTTCTAGAGAAAATCGAAACATAAATTTTATGTCCAGTACATGCTCTGCATAGGTTTAGCGGTATTCAAGATAAATAAACAAGACGGATATTGATGCTGTGTCATGTCAGAACTCGAGAATAGTTTGATTGATTTCGACGCCTCGCGTCTCATCCACTTCCCACCCATTCTTCACGGCTTGCAGAACATTAAACTTGCTATTCATGAATTCAGAATCTCGAGGTAATAGGAGAGCTAACGCGCTGCTATTGTCAGTGTAAGCGGCCATTTTGTGACGTCCTTCCAGTGCGATGAGACATCCCATTTGTTTAGATTCCTACTTTATTCTTCTGCGTATATATAAAGAGTTTTGTAAGCATGAGATTCGGCATTGTCACTGCACAGTTCCGTGTTATGTTGGCAACACTGTGGAGCGTTAAGACTTTGCATGAACGTACGAGCGAGCAGCCTTTTCTTTATTGTATCGTGTCTAGTGTGTGAACAACGATAATATTTTTATGTGGATATGTGAAATGTTTGCTATATAAATGAGACAGTTTACGATTGACTATTTGTGCGAATAATTCTTGGGAGATGGCGTTAAACTTCGGCCTCGACGCGTCATTCGAGAACATGTAGAACTGCAAAGGAATACAGGAGAAAGCAGAGGACATTTAGAGCTCTGAAACTTATATGTTGTCACGTGTATCAGTAACTATAGACTTATTTGGATTGGTACTTGCATTTATTGAACTCTCACAGAACGTAACTACAAGTAAGTATAGCGCTATCGCTAACTCACATACTCTAAAATTCACTACAGCACACACTAAGTTTTCTCAGTCTGCAGCGTCTTCTTCACCAGTCGTTGTCTGGTAACGGCTTCCAACGGCGGAATTTTCCCTTACTCTGGTTTCTCAAACTGTACCCGTGCCTCAGCTACCAGCTTCTAACAGATACAGCTCACAAGGACTGAACCGCAGCAGTTCTCTAACTCTCACTCACCCACCAACCT